ATTGTCTAGACCTATATCATATGGAGTAAATCTGGCTTTTGAACACGCATTTGAACAAAAAAAAAAAACTTTGTATGTTTCAGGCATGAGTCCTCGTTTTCTCTACTGCAACTTTGTTGAAGCATATTGGCTTTGAAAACCTCTCTTAGAAATACGCCTCATCCTTCGGTTTTACGTTCACTCTCACTGCAGATAGTCCCTGAAGTCGTACCCGAACATCTCAAAATCAAAGAAGAACCGCTCATATAAACGCATCACCTGATTGAAAGTGAGCTCTTTAAAAAAGTCTCGGGCGGACTTGCGGAACCCGCAGTCGCTACCCTTGTTTTTCTGCGGAATGTCCCGCGGCCGAACACCCAGCGCTTCAAAGAACAGCGCAAAGTCCCTGCTTGCTGTTTCCAGCTTTCCGACGACCTCGTACTTGACGGTACAAGGCTGGCACGTCACGTAATACGGAGCCCAATGAGAGTTCATCTGGTTCACTGTCTGATTCAGTACGTAATCAATGAACTCTGGGAAGGTCAAGTTCCGGCCCGTCGCCTTGACGCCAGGTACGTCGTTCCAGTACCTGTTGTAAAAATAGACAATGCGAGCACGTGGGCCTAGCGCCTTGTCCGTGTAAGCGGATACTAGCCTCTCGAAGGGATGCCTCACGAACATGGCGGTTGTGTAGCGCTCCTGGCTGCTCCTCTGTAGGAACGTCATGGGCGAGACAGTGCGGACCTGCTCATGAAATGCCCTGTGTAAGCTGTCTCTTGTGTTTGCCATGTTGCTGATGTTGAGGAGGAGGCCGAAGATGGTCTTAACTGTGGTGGATGCAACCTTGTTGATGAAGCAGAAGCCGATTTTCCTTGCGGGGTCGATTATGATGGGACATCTTCGGATGTGGCAGATGTTTGACCGTTCGTAGCCGATGTTGCTCTTCATGACACGTCTGTTGTGATCCGCCAGGGCCATCTTGTATTTGCGACACACTTCAATGATTCTTCGTGCTCTGAACGCGGAGTCATCGTCGCTACGTCTGGAAGTCTGCGCTAACAAAATTAAAGAACGGAAAATTAACAATACACACGGGAAGTGCAAAACGGTTCTCGTCGCGGATGGTATACACTGCGGATTGTGGGACTTGCGTGCTCGAAGCTCCTGCACGCAAGCATGCTCGAAGAGTCCCCGCGAGCTCTTCTGTCAACGCAGAGCTCTTGCGTACTATCTAGGAAAAGTCGTTATTATGAAGAACATATTGAAGGGTCGAATGTATCCACGTCGGTTTCCTTCACGCTTTTAGACAACGAGAGCTGATATTTTCTAGAATAGCGAACAAAACGAAATATGACTATATTTTTTCTCCCCTTTGCGACAAACGTGAAATCCAAAAACGGCCAACGCAAGGTTCATTCAAAAGAGTTCCGTCAGGAGTACACTTAAACGATAAGCTGAAAAATTGGACTCGTAATGACCACTAGGGTCACAGACAGGATGGGAAAGGCAGGTCGTTTCTTCGGATGCCTAGTCACCAGCATGCGCCCGTTGCCTTCCACCGTGTTTTGGCTGCGTGTGCACGCTCGAGGTTCACAAGACGCTGGAGCATTATCGAAGGCAGCAAGTTCTCTGGGGAGGCGGTACAACTGAGGAACCTCCTTGCCGTTCTCATTCTTTCAGTGACTATAGCAACAGCACTGCGTATTACCTGTTCTCTGGTCGTGCCGCCGGATGCTGGCGTTGGGCAAGAAGGTGATCGTCGTAGCCAGTTATAATATACCAGTGAGGGAACAATTGCTGCGCACAAAACAGCCAAGGATATTTTGCCGACTGTACAAGAGGACTTCTTAGACATGGGTGTACACTTTTGGGCACTACAAGCTTACGGGCGCTGTCCCGGACGAAAAGTTGAACGAATAGAAGAAGAATAGTGCGCATAGCGTGTAGGGCTGCAACAGATGGATTTTTTATTTTTACTCTTCAAATGCTCACAGCTGTACGAATCATGTACTACATTGCTCAATTGAGCCCACCACCTTTTGCGAAACGCCTGTACGAAGGGAGAGGAAGGATGGGTGTAATCAACGATGCGGAGGGGCTTAGTGTTGTAAACAGGAAGTTAGACAGCGGCACCGGGGCCTCGGTTGCCGCCATGTTGTACGAAAAAGTGACTACTCGGCACGTGACTTCACAAGAGCCTGACGTCACCGGTAAGATGGCAGCGCCCAGAGCTGGTGGATACAAGATAGTTCTGTGCGCGGTAATCGTGATTTCGGACTTCTCCACATTTTGATTTGACGTACTGTCATTGCAGTAGCTTGCGTTTCATCAAATAATTTTTCTGTTTGTGTGAAAAGCTGGTGCTGGTGCTCGCATTAGTGATGTGCACGCGAACTGTTACAAAAAATGCGAACCAATCTTATAAGGATAGTGAATTTTTAACGTTCACAGAAAAGTTCATTTTTTTCCTTGGAACTTACAAGACCGTACTCTTGATACTTTTGTTTGGGCAGTGCAAAACGTTCTGCAAAACTTTCTGGGCACGGTCCTGCTCCCCACTGGCTGAGACGCGCAACACACGTGCGCCCTACTTCCCTCCATTCTACGAAGGAGGCGAGGAGGTAGCTTCGCGCCGCGAGCACCAGGGAGCAGGATGGCAGGCGCGTAGATGCGCTCCGATAAGAAACCGAAATCTAGAAACGCGTCCATATGGAGCGTTTTTACAGAACGCTGTAAAATGCTGCCGCGGAGTTATATCCTTCCAAAAATAGTTGATTTAGTGGTTTTCGATGATGCTCTACAAGTTTTTAATTGGAACCATATGTCTATTTCCACTAATTAAAAAGTTAATTAACGAATTTTAATTAATTAGACAACTTATCGTAAAGATTAGCCACCCACATACTGTTCACCTGGCCGTATAACCAACCTGCACAAACCGCATTAGTGTAACTTTCACGTTTTTTTTTAAACAAATGTGAAAGAATAAAAAAAAAACGCCCTGTATATATACACACGCACAGTATTTGTAACCCCGCTCATACCGTCAGAATTAACTGTCGACTCTCGGACAGGCTTACCTAATGATGCCTGATAGACCATCAAACATTTCTTGATGGTGGCTGATGGACCACGAAAGTCTTCTGTTTGTAGGTCAAAGACCTTCAAAACGTTGTTGTGTCGACTGACGGACCATCCAAACATCTTGAAGTTGCCCGGTGAGACCATCAGGATATCTCGATAAACCACCAGAATGAAAAAGGGCTGATGGTGCTTCTCATGACATCTTTCGGTGGTGGAAAAAACCTGACTATGTTCGGGAGGTTCCAGCAGTGGCCGAGAAAAGGCGTCAATGATCTCACGTCGTTGCGCATGCGTGAATTGCATTCGGTGTGTAAAGCCGTCAGCTGCGTGGCTCGATAACAGTGTGTTGAATCTGTAATAATCCGAGTCAACAATTGTCGTAGGATACTCGAAAGGTAACGGAGACACCTTCTTATAAACTCAGGTATGTTTTTGCAACCATATAATTCTGTTTGAAATTATTTTATTGTGCGTTGGTGAAGCAATTTGTTGATCCGCTTTGTATGTCAAGTAGATCATGTTTACGATCTAAGTGGCAGAGAATGTGCCGAAAAATGCACTTTGCTTGATAGGAAATTTATTTTCTAGGTGCACGGGTACTGTGAACTAGGTGTTTGCGTGAAAGAAAAAAACTTTTACAAAGCCGCGAATGCGGTAATACGAGGCTTACTGCATTCTAAAACCGACGAGGTTTAGTGTATTGCATGCTGTCGCACGACGCCGTCATGTCCGGCATGAATGATGGGTACAGTGTAGATAGCCATGCAACAGACACCGATAAAGTTGCTGCGCATCGTGGAGTCTCGAAAGTACTGAGTGGATTAAACGCATTTTTTCTTCCATTTTGTTTTTGCGGTTTAATAATTCAACGTTAAATTATTTCCAAATAGAAATAATAACATCCCCTATTCTGAATACAAACTTTGCTTTCAGGTTTTTATGGGGATTTCGGAAGGTACCCTAACGCTTCGGATGTTCCTTTTTAAAATAATAGTGGGCACAGAAGAGTTCACAAATGACTGTAATAGAATCTTTGTCTTCTGCCGGTAAATAAGTGTGATTAGAAATTCATACGGACTACCAGACCATCAAACCATCACACCATGAAATCATCAACGTCTCAAAATTCGACAGACCATTAAACCATCACACCTTCAAGCAATCAAATCATCACACCACCAGGCCATCAAGCCATGACACCATCAGGCCATCAGACCATCAATGTCCCAAAGACGTCAGACTATCAGCCTGATAAACCACCAGGATTTTCCCTGATGGTATTTTCGATAGGGATAGGCTGATCCAGTTTCGAAGCTAGGGAGGCCTGAGTTAAGCTGGGACTTGAGTGAAGCCTCAGCAGGATGCACTGAGGAAGGCCAGAGAGGCCATTCTTAATATCTGCCTCGAAGTTCTGCCTACCAAATACTGTTGAGTGGCAGGAGGTAGAATTGGGGTACAGTCTCTCCTCGAAATGAGCTTCAGTCAGTTTTCATGGTCCCAGGTGTAGCTCAAGCGCTAATAAAATGACAGCCCCGAAAGGTTCTATCCCACAGCAACCATAACAAATTCCAAAAAGAGCACCAAGAATACAGCGCACGAGGGGGGCTTAATCACGTCGTACACATTTTCTGTCTTGTATGGGGTAGCGGCGCGCCTTTGGGGTGATATGTGGAAACCGGGGATTGGGCAGACATTATAAGTATACACGAAGTTATGACTCAATACATGAGACACTATTTTTAGGCTGCCGGTACACTCAAGTTGTCTAGACGTATATATTATTCAGTAAATCTTACTTTTGAATACGCATTTAACGAAAAAATAACTTTATAGGTTTCAGGTATAGGTTCTTGTTTTCTCTACAGCAGATTTGCTGAAGCACTGGATGAGAAGAACTCTCTTTAAGTTGGCCTTAACCTTTGGTTTCCCATACACTGTCAGTGCAGATAGTCCTTGAAGTCATATCCGAACATCTCGAAATCGAAGAAGAACCGTTCATATAAACGCATCACCTGATGTAAACTGAGCTCCTTAAAAAACTCATGGGCAGATTTGCGGAACCCGTGGTCGCCACCGTTGTTTTTCCGTGGAATGTCCCCCAGCCGAGCACCCAACGCTCCAAAGAACAGCGCAAAGTCTCTGCTTGCTGTTTCCAGCTTTCCGACGACCTCGTACTTGACGTTACAAGGCTGACACGTCAAGTAGTACGGAGCCCAATGGGGGTTCATCTCGTTCACTGTCTGATTCAGTACGTAGTCGATGAACTCCGGGAAGGTCAAGTTCCGGCCCGTTGCCCTTACGTTAGGGACGTCGTTCCAGTATCGGTCGTAATAATAGACATTGCCAGCACGTGGGCATAGCGCCTTGTCCACGTAAGCGGATACTAGCCTCTCGAAAGGATGCCTCACGAACTTGGCGGTTGTGTAGCGCTGCTCGCTGCTCCTCTGTAGAAATGTCTTGTGTGACACTGTGAGGACTTGCTCAAGAAAGGCCTTGTGTAAGCTGTTAACTGTGTTTCCCGTGTTGCTGATGTGTAGCAGGAGCCCGAAAATGGACTTGACTGTGGTGGACGCAACCTTGTTTATGAAGCAGTAGCCGACTTTGTGTGCAGGGTCCATCATAATAGGACAGTCTCGCATCGGGCAGAGGTGGGGCCGTTCGTCGCTGATGTTGCGCTTCAAAATGCGTCTGTTGTGATCCGCCAGGGCCACCTGGTACGTGCGACACACTTTGTTGATTCTTTCTGCTCTGAGCGCGAAATCATCGTCGCTGAGTCTGGAAGTCTGCGCAAACAAAAATAAAAACACGAAATTAACAATAGACACGAAAAGTGCAAAACTGTACTCGTCGAAGCTTGTATACACAGCTGATATATATAATTATTTGCTGGATCGCGTTTGCCCAGCTCCGCCTATGCACAGAAATGTGGCGACGGTCGGCCATCTTTTTGGTAGGGTTATATTATCTCTAACCATCATAGTATTATGGCTTACGGCGTTGTGGAGGCAGTCTGCCATAAGAATAGCCGTGGGTCTAGTACACTGTACCGTGGGTGATATTTCGTACTTGGAAGTAGCTCGACAAATCAGAACCTTGAAACTCAGTGCATGCGACATAGAAAGATCCACTTTGCCGTCATGTTGTGCGGCGCGCTGTTCAAATCGGCCTGATCGCGACAAGACAGGAACTTACCATCGATAAGCATTCCCAAGGTTACCATCGGGACTTACCGTAGGAAAGCATTCCCCAGGGTATTCCTGAAGTAGCCCCGCGACCCTTCAGCTGTGGGTGGAAAACGTGCACCCTATCAAAGGGGAGGTAGATTGCGCCACCATACTAATATGGTGTGGCTAGAGATAATATAACTCTACCAAAAAGATGGCCGACCGTGGCCGTATTAGCGGAGCGGGCAAACGCGATCCAGAAAATAGTCATAGAGATCACTGGTATACACTGCGGATCGCAGGCTTTGCGGACGCGTGCTCAATCTGTGCCTGGAAAAGTCGCCACGAGCTCGCGCTGCCAACGCAAAGCGTTTGCGTACAATCTACGAAAACTCCTTGTTATTTAGAACCTATTGTAGAGTCGAGTGTATCCATGTCGATTTCATTCACGCTTTTAGAGAACGAGAGCTCAAATTTTCTAGAATACGAAACTAAACAATATAAAACTATCTTTTCCGTTGCCTCTGCGGCAAATATGAAATCCGAAAACGCCCAACGCAAGGTTTATTCAAAGAAGTTCCGCAGGACAACACTTGAGAGATCCGCAGAAGAAATTGAAATCGGAATGACCAATACGGTCACTGACAGGATGGGAAATACAGGGCGTTTGTTCGGATGCCAGGCCACTATCACAGGCCCGTTGCCTTCCACCGTGCTTTGGCTGCGCGTGAACGCTCGAAGCTCACGAGACACTGGAGCATTATCGAAGACACGAAGCTCGGTAGGGAGGCGGGACTGCCGAGGAATCAGCCTGCCGTTCTCATTCTTTCAGTGATCATAGCAACAGCACTGCGTATTACCTGCCCTCTGGTCGTGCCGCCGGATGCTGGCGTGGGGCAAGAAGGTGGCCGTCGTAACCAATCAATATATACCAGCGAGGCGAGAATTGCTGCACACAAAATAGCCATGGCTATTTTGAGGAGCGTACGAGACGACTTCTTGGACATGGGTGTACACTCTACAGGACTGCAAGCTCGCGGGCGCTGTCCCGGACGAAGACTAGAGCGCATACACCAAAAATAGAGCGGATAGCGTGTACGGCTGCAACAAAACGAATTTTTCTTTTACTCATCAAATGCTGACAGCTGTACGAAACATGTACTGCATTGCTCAAATGAGCACGCTCCTTTCTGCGAAACGCCTTTCTGAGGGGAGGGAGGGGTGGGTAATCATAGGGGCATAAAGGCTTAGAGTTATAAACCGGAAATTAGAAAGTGGCGTCCGGGCCCCGGTTTTCGCTATGATGTACGCAAATGTGGCCACTCGTCACGGGACCTTACAAGAGCCGTGACGTCCCCGGTTAGATGGCGGCGCCAAAAAGCTGGTGGATACGAGTTGGTTACGTGCGCGGTAGTCGCGTGGACTCGTGATATGCTGCTGCTTTACGACGATTCCGACTTCTCAATGTTTGGTTATAACGTGCTGCCATTGCAGGAGCTTGCATTTGGTCGCATCATTTTTTTTTTTTGTGTGAAAAGCTAGCACTCGCTTAAGTGGCGTGCACGCGAACTGTTACAAAGGATTCGAACCAGTCATTTGGAAAATAGTTCATTTCTGACGTCCACAAAGCAGTTCTTTTATCCCCAGGAACTCGCAAGACAGTCAGCAAATCTTAACATTTTTGATATGGCAGTGCTCAAATTACTGCATCTAACGTGACTGAGAAAATTGTATTAGTAGGCTCTTGACCTTGCCGATCGGTATGAAACATTAAACTAACCTCCAGTTTATGATCAGACTCTTCTTAGATGGTTGTCTCATCCATCATTTCAACACCTAGAAACTTAAAAAAAAATGCAGCCGAAGCACAATACGTATAAGCGATTCTTAAAAATTTAAAGAATCACGGAAATGAAAAATGAACTGCATATTTCTTACTATGGTAGGATTTATCTCACCCATAATTTTGTTCATAAAGTGTTAATTGTACAAGTGGGTTGATTATATACTTGTTCTATTTACCCAGATAAAATAGCTTGTATTTGTCTTCGTGCCAACTGACCGAAGATGCAGTCTTGAAGCAAAACGTTGTCAACCATTCCTTTCAATTTCTTCAATAGACTTATTTCAAAAGTGTGTGCTGCCTATACTTCGTTTCCCTATAAATTGGCAAGGAGCAAACTCTACAGCCTCCTCGAGCCTATCGGAGGGACTGAGTGAAGGCATGGGACAACACTCCGTAGAAGGAGACCACTCTGATTATATGTTGTCACATGCCTCTCTTCAACGTTCACATTGGCTCACTGGGACTTCGCCGTTTGCCAAATTATGGTGAAACGGAGTTATAGTTATACTCCCTTTTACCACCATTGTCGCAAGTGCGCTAATTACCTGTTTCCTTCCTACTTTGGGAATGCACTCTAGGCATGTATTCGACAGGAATGTTATGTCAGCAATCAATGTGAACTCGTCTCAGTGCCGAATGGACTCGAGCGCTCCAGTAGCGTTCCTCTTGAACTGGGGTTCATTCATGTATTACTCCCAAGAAAAAGCATGGGGACAGTCAATTTTCTGCCTGATGGGGTTTTGCAGCAAGTACGTATGACGGGGCGGACGTTGTATCGTGGACGTGTTTGGCGCTTTAAACTGGGTGATTCAAGGAGCGTCCAGGCTCTTTAAATCGACCGCAAAATTCGGTTTCTTAACCTATCGCGCTACGACTTTGTGCAGGGTTGGCCACAGGTAGTGAATTTGTTTTTTTGTAAAATTTGCGAAGAGCGAACTTACCTGAGGAAAAAGTAAAGCAAGAAAAAGGCTTAGCTCCTATGGAAACGCAGCGAAGCCACCGGTCTTCAAACAATACGGCGCCGTTTCGCACGGGAGACAAGAGATGGTGCAAGCGGAATTCTAGCTTAAGGAATTGAATACCTGAAGAAGTAAAAAAAACAAAGGGGGGGGGGGGGGAGAACTATTTTTCTTTGTTCACGAGTCTCTTTTTAGGTCACTGCGATTTTTATTTTACCGCGAGTCTTGAAAGACCAAAAAATAAGCCTCAGCTGTTATAGATATTCAGTTAGGCAAACACGAAGTGGGACTCTCAGAAAAGGCTTATGCTTACAACATAACAAGATTAATGCCAATGTCAAATAATTACACTATTAAATTATCAATATTATTTTTAGCACTGAGTGCGGGGACAGTTAAAATAACTTCTGCCTGAAGCGATATCTTATATCGCTGGCTCCGCGCCAGCGTATCGCTGCGTCATGCTGCCTTGGCAGACAGATATCAAAGGATTGAAAAATAATAAATGAAGACTTTTTGGCTCGGCACAGAACTTCGTTTATTTTAGACCACCCAGTCTCAGGTGGTATAAAAAAAAGGTAAACCTACACCAGCTCGCCTGCGCCCTAACTGTTTTTTTTTTTTAACTTTGTGTTCGTCGTTCCTTCGTGGCTTCTGCCGCAACGCCACATGGTGTCAGGAATGGGGTCCATCTGACCAGGAATATGCCCGAAGAGCAGGCCATGGGGACATCGGTACCAGCTCAAGGGGGACTGGAACTGCATCCACCACCTAAACTGGACTTTGACAAAGCGTCAGAATGGTCAGTGCGGATTCAATAGTTCGAAGACTACCGGTTCGCAAGCGGTCTCAACGAAAGAAGCGGCGAGGCTCAGGTCAGAACCCTTCTCTATACCCTAGAACGCAGGGACTGCAAATTTTCGCAACCTTCGGCCTGAGCGAGGAAGACTTGAAAGACTACGTGAAAGTCGAAAAGAAGTTTAATGAGCACTTCGTGAAAGAAAGAAACGTCGCGTGTACGAGAGCGCCTGCTTTCATCGGTGTGTGCAGTATCCAGAAGAGACCATCGACCAGTACGTGACAGCTTTTCACACCCTAGCAGACCGCTGCGATTTCGGGGACCTCAAACAACGAATGCTGCGTGATCGACTGGTCGTCGGCATGCGGGACAGAAAGCTGTCGGAAACACTTCAGATGGACTCGCAGCTTACGCTTGCTTCTGCGCTGGCAAAAGCAAGGTTGACAAAGACGGTACGACAGCAGCAATGAGAACTGCGTCCCGAGGAATCGCCTGTAACATCCGAGGACATGAACATTGATGCAGTAAGACGCTACAGTGGAACATCGTGGCGTTAAGGACGCATTGGCAACCATTCCGAGAAGCATAGTTTAATTGTGAAAATGATTCTTGCAAGTGATAAAAACATTCAAATGTTTTCGCATACTTGGGGGAATCCCGAATGGCGGAATCCCTTTCATGGCGCCCATTTTATTGGGATCGCGTCCGGCAGTTGGACCGGCTTGTGTGCACACCGCGTGGTGCCGACGCAACGGTAGAACGCGCGCAAAAGCGGCTGTGGTGCCCCCGCAGCCTCGCGCTTGTTCTTCTGGCATCTCGAGCTCGCTCACTGTGGACATCTAGGCATCTGACACCCTAACATCTGATGCTTTTTCTGTCTTTCTCGTGGCGTTCCAAGCGGCACACGACGGCAAATGCCCATCAAGCTATTCTTGAACACGTGTCGCCATCTGTATTTTATATTAAGGAAACTGCAATTTGCTGTAATTAAGTGAGAAAGTTTTGAGGTCTAATAACACTTTTAACCTGTTACATATTTTAATAGGAGTTCTGGAAAATATAATATCGAAGGATGATTCGTAATTTAATGTCTTGTAATATTGATTAGTTGACGTGATTCCGTTTTAATAGCACCCTAAAATAATACCGTTTCAAACATTATTTTTTTATTTTAAAACATACATTATCCGTAGATTTTGTTGCTGCTTTTTAATTCAGTATATCCAACCGAACGCTCACGTAAGCTATCGTGGAAAATGGGACGTTATAACTCGAGAAATATTTTTTTTCAACATTAGAGATTGTGGTTTATTAGAAGCTGAATAATTAACTAAAAAATAAAAATAATCGTAATATCGAAACATTAAAGTATTTGTGGAAAACATATCTTTTTTTTTTACATTAGCTTTATAATTGTAGAATACATAGAAAGAAAGCTATAAACCGTCAAAAAAGCACCAAAACGTCAGGCAAGGTAACAGCGAACACTGAACGTTTTTATTTCTGAGGTCAAAAACCAGGCGAAGAGAAGAACGTGACGAGAAAATTCAACGGCCAGGATCCTCCAGAGTTACAACAACTACGAAGACAGCTAAGCAGTGTGGAAGGTGTTAGCTGTGCCGGGGCACACGTTCGGGAAAAACGCGTTGTGCCTGTCGGCAGGCGCCCGTCACTTACTCGAGGTGCGCAAGAAAGATGTTGGCGGGTAACCGCTGAGAGCCAGTCAAAGCAGCGCCGAAAGAGGACCTGGAAGGGCACATGGGCTGATCCATCTTCGGCCTGAGCCAAGGTGGGGTTTGAGTGAAGCCTCGGCAGGATGCACAGAGAAGGACCAGAGAGGCCATCCTTAATACCTGCCTCGAAATTTTGCCTACCGAATACTGTTGAGTGGCAGGAGGTAGAATTGGGGTGTAGTCTATCTTAGAAATGAGCTTTAGCCAGTTATCATGGTTTCAGGTGTAGCTTGAGACCTAATGAACTGACAGCCCCGGGAGGGTCTTGCCCACAGCAATCATGACAAATGCCAAAAAGAGCACCAATAATTCAATGCACGAGAGAGGCTTATTCACGTCGTAAACATTTTTCCGTCTTGTATAGGGAAGCGGCGCGCTTTTGTGGTGATAACTGACAACCGGCGATTGGGCAGGCATTATCAGTAAATAGGAAGCTATGGGTCAACATATGAGGCACTATTTTAGGCTGCCGGTACACTAACGATGTCTAGTCCTGTATACTCTTCGGTAAATCTAAATCTCTAAACACGCATTATGGAAAAAAAAGAAACAAAAAACACTTTATAGGTTCGAGGCATGGTCCTCGTTTTATCTACCGAAGATTTGCTGAAGCACTGGCTGAGAAGAAATCTTTTAGAAGTTGGCCTTATCTTTGGTTTCGCGTACCCTT